TTTTTTTTTTTTTTTTTGCGGAACCGGGGATTGGACTCAGGCCCTTGCGCTTGCTGGGAAACCACTTATTCCACTAAGCCATCTCCCCAGCCCCGAAATATATAGGTTTAAATAAGCTTTACTTTCTGTTATGAAACTCTCGTGTCAGATTCCAAGTTTAGAGTTATTTATTAGAGCAATTGATCGGATATGTGTCAGTGCTGTTCAACTCATTAAGCTAAAGATATGTTAATTGTATGTGGATATTTACTGCATTTCCACATACTTAGAGTATTCAAAGTGCAGCCCAATCTAAAAGCAAGTTGGCACTACATTTTATGAGAAAAAAGTTTCATCTGAACCAGCAAACTTTGAAAAGCATTTCTTAGACTTTAAGAAACGAGTATAAAAATTTTTATAGAATAGCTTTTGCACAAAATACTCAACCTGATAGTGTACGTCATTTCTTTTCCGGTCAGTTCCTACCAGGCTGCCTAACTCTGCTTCCAACACAGTTGAAATACATTTCTCTTGGTTCTCACTCTGCAGTGGTGCCCTTGCTTGGATTTGTACGCTACCCAATTAAAACTAGATCAACCAATTAGTTGAATTTTCTGAGCCAACCAGGAAAAACAGCCATGGAATGCAATGACTGCCAATGAATTCATGATTCCCTGGGCTTTGGTTTCAGCCATGCCCCAATTTGTTTGTGTTTCTCTCTTCCAGTGCCTGGAGCCCTGCAAGGAACCAGGGGACCTGAGGAAGCACCAGTGTCAAAGCTTCTGTGAGGTAAGGGAACATCACTTTAATTGGAGTCCCTGCACCTGGGAGGCAAGGTGTCGCAGTCCTCCTGCCTGGCGCCGGGGTTATCCTCCACGCGGTTTTCTGTGCACTGTGAGAATGTTCCTGTTCTTAGGGAGGACTAACTCTTATTGTTACAAGTGTGGCTTTTCAACATTGTTCCCTTTGGAGACTCCTGCACCCGGAGCAGGATAGTTTCCCGCTCTAACCTGTGTGGGGCATCTTCTTTCACACTTCCTATCACTTAGGGCATGATGGGAAGGCAACATCCTGAAGGGTAAGGGCCTATAATCACCAGGAATTGTGAAGAAGGTAGGATCTGTCTTCTGAACTGTCTCCCATAGTTTGCTTTCTCCTAAGATAAGGCCAGGAGAATGGGAGACAGGCAGACTGCCCAGTTTCCATCCGAGTGGTTGTGTTAGTTACTTTTGTCTCGTTGCTGAGACAAAATACCTGATGCCCAAATTAAAGAGGGAAAGGCTTACTTGTCTCACCATTTGTGGAGGTTTCAGTCCATAATCATCTGGCTCCAAGACAGGGTAGCATGCGCAGGGGCAGCAGTTCAAGGCAGCAGAAGACAGAAAAAGCAACAGGAACAGAAAGGGGAGAAGAGTAAGTCTCTTTTCCTCCTTTATTTTGTGTGTAGGCTGCTGACTGTGGGGTGGGTGTACCACTCACATTTTCTCCCTACCCTCCTCTTTTACAGACTCAGGATGTTTACAAAATGAGGACCCTGACTCCCTGCTGAGTTGCTTAGTTAAACTTCTGAGCTTCTCAAGTTGACACAGTGAATCAGCCTTCACTTCTCAGACCCTAGACAGCCACCCTAGAGCATGTCCTCTACACCCTAGGATGTAGGACTGCTGAGCCCCTTAGTTAAGTTTCTAGACTTCTCAAGTTGACATGATGTATCAGCCATTACAGTGGCCCTGAGGGGAAAGGAGAGTCTGAAGACTTGAAGACCAATAAAGAACTCAGTAGAAAGCGTGCTGGGTGGCAGTGAAAGATCCCAGCTCAGGGTCTTGGAGAGCAGACTTCAAATGTGCCCACGTTATCACAATAAAATGATGGTCCGGGCCATCTTTGAAGGGGAGTTGGGGGCTACATGGAAACTCTCCCAAGGGATTGAGGGAGTCATGGTGGTCCAGGCTGTTCCCTGTAGCACACACTGGTGTAGCTGTCTCAGGGGGACTCCCCTCGGAAGGGGCACGGATTCTGTTCTGATAAGGTAACTACAGAATTGGCATCATACTCACTGCCTTGATGTGTACTGTTAATTTCCCCTTTAAATGATCTTGGAGTCAAGCACTGTGCATGGGAGAAGCCAGGGAAGCAGTGGAATGGGGAGACATCTCAAGGGAGATGGCTGATGGGATACCAGTGATGGGACCAGTATATGGGGTAAAAGGGTCAGGCTAACCCACCGTCCTCTGGCTCCTGTCCTTGGTCACCCAAGGCCCTCTAGTGGGTGGGCTCTCCTTTATCACTCACCGGGATCATGGAGCTATAGAATTATTTTAAACCAGTGGAGTGAGAGTGTTTCTAAGTTTCTCAACTGTTCACCTGGACTCTTCTGAGTCTCAGTTTTATTTTGTCCTGCTAGTTCTTTCTCAGTATTTTGTGTCTTAGGGATAGACGATTGACAATTTGAAGGCTTTTATGCAATGATGCCTGTTGTCAAAAGCACCTCCACCCTATGCATTCCTGTCAAGGAGATCTTTGGAAACAGTCCTTTTAATTTGGAGGGTGTAAAGGTCTTGAATAATGCATTGGCCTCCTTGTAGATATTCAGAGTTATTCATCCAGTTGACAGCCCTGGCTCAGTTAAAGACTTAGTGTTAAATCAAATAAGAAAATAACCCATAGTGCCTTTTCAAGATACCGAGGATGAGACAGAACAGCAAACCTAGGTTCTCTCCTGAGGCATTGACATGGTACGCATGGGTGTAATCAAAGTCCAAACTTTTCCAGAAACAATAGTCATTAATTTTGATGTGTTTTTATATGATTTGCCTATTCCTACAGAACAAATCACCCCAAAATGCTGTTTTGCCTTTGCAGGTATATTACCCACATAAATGAATCTGTAGCAAAATGAACTTAATGAACTTTATTTATTCTACCTGCCCTTACTGAATAACTACAGCATACCCAGCTATTTGGTGGAAACATAAAAGCAAACGAACAAGAAAAGAAAAATAGCTGCCTAGTTTAGGTTTGTTTTTTTTTCCTGATGGAAAAAGACCTAATCTAGGAACTTAATCCACACCCAGACTGCAGAACTGACTCACCATATGAGTACAGCAAAATTGCAGAAGTTTAAATTCATTTTCACATCTCCGACTCATCCCGCTTCACTTATCCATTGTCATAACAGAACTAAATGGTGACTGAGTGCACGTACAAAGCTGATGAAGCTACACCAAAGCAGCAGGTTGATGCTGATTTTCTAATTCTATCCAACGTGCTTATAGAAACAGCTCTTGGGAGGTACAGGAATCAAATTCTGTGTTTGATTTACTGCACCTGTTGTTAATCCATACTCACCCTGTCAGACCGGAATGTCTCCTAGAAGGACCACTGCACACCTACTTTTAATTTGTAGATTATTGCGTACAGAAGCCAAACATCTAAATGGAACTAAAATATTTTTATAGAATCTTGCAGATGAGAAAGGGCTGTGGCATTTGTTTTGTAAGTTCATCATCCCTAAATATCACCGACTCTGGCTTGGTGGCTTTAAATCTGATTGCTGAGAAGGTGGATGTGTTTGAAGGTCACGTGCTGCTCTTCTCTCAGGGAGTCCCTAATGTAATACCAGGTTTCTGTGACTGAGCTTCTCAGAGATAATTCTGGGTTCTCTGAGCCAACTCCAGCTGATTAAATGGGACTTGAGTGTTGGTGTTTGTGGCCCAATCTGCTTTGACAGCAAAGGTTCATGGAGTCTTGAAAGACAGGAAGCCAGACCCGGCTCTGGCAGGGATTTTTTTTAGCTGTTTAACACTGATGCACAAGCATCCATGCCCTCTTTTCATGGCTCTGATTGCTTGTCCATCTCTGTATGTTTTTTGCTTTCTCTTTTAACCTTACCATAGGTGTCTGAATATTATGTAGCAATCGGCTAAATGCTTGAAAACCTTGGAGCGCTTCTCCTGCATTTTTTTGGGACAGTCATTCATTGAGACAGACCTTATCCAACTCAGTCCATTTCATCTGAGGAGGAGAGTATGTGAAAAAATGTAGTGTAATGAATCAGCTTTCACTGGGTAAAATTTCAGCCACCAAAAGGACTGCAGATTTGACTGGAGAGACACGTAGGCTGTTAAATGTCTGGTGTGATATGTTTATGTATAAGACAATCTGATCTTATTTATCTTTTAAGGTGAGTGTTTGAAAATTACACTCCACTAGGCAAAATTGGCCTGCTGCTTATACTTGCAAATAAAGTTTTATTGGCACACAACAGCACTGGATAGTTGGTTAACATTTGGGTTACGGTGACACTGGTTGACTAATGGTGACATTTGTGATAGGACAGCACAGTTGAATGGTGTGACAATTCCTGTGGCCCTTAGAGCTGAAAATATTTACTGTCACACCTCCTAGTCTAAGAAGAATTGTCCCAGTTGCATTCGTAAAAGCTATCTAGCCATGTAGAGTGCTATTCCCAGCACCCATCATTAAACCTAAATAATTTTGCTTGGTTGTTTAATTACAAAATAAATTTCTACACATGGAAGAGGCTTTTAGAGCTGCACTGACAATAAAAGAAAGCCTAGGAGGAATGTTGCTCTGGTCTCTTGGGTAAGGATTTCTCTCGATTCCTTTCTCTTCTCTGTACTGCAGTATCAACTTTTGATATTTTCAGACTGATGTCATGGTTAATAATAGTATTTATAAAATAAAGACATTAACTGTTTTAGTTAAAACAGAAACTAAATAGAGATATTTCATGAGTCCTTAGATAGGAAAATTTCTCAGTAATCATGAATTTGGAACATAGCATGTTTTGACAGATATGTAAACAGGAAAATAGTCTCTGCTTTGTTGGTTGGTTTATTAAGTGGCAGTAACTACCTTTCTCTTATCTTAAAAACAATGATAGGACCGGGGAGATAGCTTGGTGGCCTAAGCGCCTGCCTGACAAGTGCAAGGACCCAGGTTCAGTCCTGGCTTCCGCATGCTGTGCTGGTCACCTAGCTGTTCCAGCCACCAAAACTGAGCATGGTGGTGCATGCCTGTAATCCCAGCTCTGGGGAGGCTGAGACAGGAGGATTGCTACCAGTCCAAGCTCCATCATGAGACCTGTACCAAATCCATACATAAATAAAAGACTAAAAAAAAAAAAAACGAAACTATTTTTTCCTTACTATTCACAAAATGTGAATTTTTTTTCATTTAAACCTTCTTTCTCATAATGATCAGATTTGAATTTACAAATGACAATGTTTTACTTCTTGGTGGTACATAAAATAGTCTTCTATATGATGAAGGATGGTATTCTTTTCTTTTTAACTAAAAGAGCTGATGAGCTTATTTTCATATTTCACGGTACAATTGAAACTGTACTGTCTGCACTTTTGTTTATCATACTTCTCCCTTCAAAATTATTCTTTGACAGGAAGTCAAGGGGAGCAAGTCTTCCTGGTCATTCATGCTGTTGGAAAACACCCAGAGGCACAGCCCCATGATCCCCTGGTGAAGCAGAACAAATAATATCAAACTGATATAGAGAGGCCACCCCTCCCCTTTCTCTGTCTGGTTGAGTCATTCCTGGCCAAGTGGGCACCACCATGGGCCAAACTGGCGGTCGCATCATCGGATGTCCAGGCATCATCAGCATGTGGCCTCTCATGCGTGGCCTCATTCTGGGAGCAAGTCCTGGCAGGAGGGAGGCCCATCATTGGCATCATGGGAGGGCCTCCCATGTGGGGTACTGGCATCATACCAGGGCGAGGAAGACCCAGGAGACTGGGTGGAGGTGGGAT